TCAACGCGAAAAGTGGCCTATTTGTGCAAGATTATCTCAGGCACGATAACAGCTGAAGACCCCAGATGCTGTAGTTATATAGAAGTCTGCTGGGGCTGTTATGAGGACCATTTATGTCTTTATAGGCAGCGGCTCGCCAGATTTCCATCTTCGGTGTTTTGACAGATTTGAGGTTATTCCGGCCCCCTGAATCACGATATGAACTCCCCATAGCGCGAAAATGGGGAAAACCCCGTCTTTTGAAACCCCCCCTGAGACGGGCGCGCACGAGTGAGCAGTTTTTTTCTGCCGTCAGAGACGCAGAATAAGAAGGTAGAGAACGCTGCCCTACGAAGCTACAAATGACGGCGCGTTTTCTAACGGTGAACATACTCTTCCGCACAAGGTGTTAGGGGAGCGAAAGGAGGAAGGGGAGCAGAGCTTGGCCCGCCCCCTGGCTTGCAGAATTCAAAATTTTTGGCCCGGAGTTGCTCTTTTGTTTACTTGGAGGGCCTCCTATCCATCTATGTCAAATTCTGAGGTGGGTCTATTCTGCCGAGCCGCTGCCTTCAAAGGCAGTGGACAGGCAGAATGGACCCCTGTCAAATTTTGGTAGTTTAGGGTAGTAGACCCCCCAAGTACATCACAACCCCAAGCCCACCTTCCAATTCATGCGCTAAGTCCTGAAAAAGCGCATGAATTGGAAGGTGGGCTTGGGGCTATGATGCACTTGGGGGGTCTACTACCCGAAACTACCAAAATCTGACAGGGGTCCATTCTGCCTGTCCACTGCCTTTAAGGGGCCACCTGCAGAAAATTTTTTCCCAGAAAGTTTCAAAAAACGAGCACTTTTTGCCCTCAAAAATGCACCATTTTTCGCGCAAGTTAATTTGAGGTCTTCTCGTTCTGCACAGGGCGGACCAAATTTTTGATTACTGCGAACCCAGGGCTCGGCACGAGGTGGGCAAATGACAAGCTGGAAATCGTTTGGGGCCAACAAGCAAAGGGGATATCGTTTTTGCGGGATCTGGGGCGGAGCCCCGGAAGAAGATTCCAAGTGCAAGCAAAAGAAGGTCGAATCATGCTTACCTTATACATCTAAATCATCGGAAAATAGTTTTCATAAACCTCAACGCACAGCAGACTTCGCGCGCACTAGGCCGCGTTGCCGCTAATTGCCGCGTGCGCGACGTCGCATGAGCGATGCCGTTGAACAGCATGATTACGTGATCAGTTCTCAATGCAGGCGTAATGATATAGCACCAAATTACGTAAGCGAACAAAGAGAGGCTAGTAGAAACAAAGCATGGAATGTTATGAAAAACTTATGTGAATGAGAGGTGTAATAAGCATTTTTTCCAAAAATTGCGCAAAACTGGTAAATGAAGATGTGAATTCAAATGGCTCGTTTGCAACGCACAGATGACCATGCGGTATGAAACTTGGTAGGTACAAAAATACGGGCCTGCAGGGCTTATCCTAGAAGTTTCATTGAAGAATTATGTGAATGAAGGTTGTGGCAAGCTTTTTTCTGAAAATTTCCCATTATCAAGAAAATGGAAAAATGGCTCGTTTACAGCGCAGAGAAAACGAAATCGCGCGAGAATTGGTGTGTATACGCGCAGTAGGACTAAGGAACAATGTATGGAAAGTCATGAAAAACTTATGTGAATGAAGAGCGTGCTTAACTTTTTCAAATTAGGTGGGCAATTGCCCACCTAATGCCCACCTGAGGTGGGCAAAACTTTCAATTCACATAATTTTTTCAAAATTTTTACATGAATCTGTTGTTCACCTAAAGTTTACTATATGGTGAGATTTTGGTTTCTAAACTCCTCCTCTTGTCTTTGTTAGAGCCCAAAATCGCATCAGCAGCCTAGCTAAGTTGGAAAGTTGGAAAGCCCCAGTCAATCGATACGCGCGGGAACGGCGTCTCTCAGTCCTATGACTGCGTTCCTTTGATATTTTTCCATTCCTTCTTCATTTTACTTGCTTATTCTTCTTCCTGTTTTCTATCTTGATACAGATGAGGAGTAATTAGAGGAATTTGAGCACTTTGGGCGCTTTTGAGCGCTTTTAGGCGAAGTGTGGCCGGTATCGTTCCACAAGCACAAAGCGTCATTTTTGGGCTCAAGGGGGTATTCGTAAAAACTATTGGGGTCAAAGGGAAATTCGTTTTGGAAAACCCCGTCTGCCCACCTCGTGTCGGGCCCTGGATGCGACGTCAGCTGCGAAAAGAGTTGCAGTCAGAGACATGTTCGACAGCTTGTAATTTTTGAGCGCAAATCGCAAAACTCGAGTACAGCTGCGGGTCGGAAGTTAACATGTTCCTCAATCAGATCACTCATGATTTGGACGAAATTCTTTGAACTGCGCAGAAAAATGGGCGCAGGATATGGTTGGGAAGATTCTTTTTTAATGTGCAGGTCAAACACGTCTTGGCATCGATAGAAGTTAGAAGCGATATTGAAAAGTTTACGCTTCGCTCTACTGAACACTATACAACACTTGGTGTCAAATTCCAACCGAGAGCCAAAAAAAATGCGTTTGAAAATGAAATTTTCAAAAGTGCCCCGGAACTTTCTTTAAAGCCTAATACAATTGGTGCAAGTAAACTGCTGATGTCTGAAGAAGTTTTATATTGTTCAGAAATGATTCTACAATTGAGAAGTAAGGAACAAACAAAATCACAATCTTGCATCAGCGGCGTGATAACAGAATTAGTAAATTTGGTCGAAACATCATCTTGATCAGGTTTTCAATACGAGAAGTAATCAGCAGCCTCACAGTATTTTCTCGAGAAACCTCGAGGTAATTAATCGGAAACCATGGAGATGTCCTTTCAACCTGATTCTTGGTACAGCACAGCGATGCCATTGAAGGGGATCGAACCTTTAGTTATCCTCAAGTTTGAGTTTGACCGTTTTCATTTCTCTTCACCAAGTTTGCGGTTCATTCTTCAGGAGAGGTAATAAGCAGCTTCACATCGTTGCGTTTTACCACTACCTTATCAAAGCTGTAATCAAGAGAGCTCTTGTGGTAACTTTCAGAATAATCTTCCGTACCCCTACGTGCGAAATCACACACCATGATCTCAAATGAAAAAATGGTCAGGAATACTTTTTTATTTTAAAAATGATACGATTATTTTACGCCTGTGTCTCAAAAACTAAACTGCTGTTATTACTCTATCTGTTGAAGCAATCAGGATACTTCGGTTTGGTTAAATTGAAACAGTCTTAAAACATTTATGGAAGCCTATGCCACCTTGCTTGTTTCTTGATTTTGCACCACCGATTGAGAGTTGTCAGACTTTGTACATGTTGCCACCATGTAATTGAAACATGACATTAGATGGTGATTTCGACCGAATTACTGCCACTCCAAATTTCCACTCCTCACGGCACAAAAACCGTTTCAGAAATGATAAATAGATTTTGTTCTCTGCTATGCTGTTATTCGAGTGCTGACAAGTAAAAGTCAGGTCCGAGAGTGTTGAGGAGATTGCGACTTGTTCATCTTATTTGTTCCCAAAAGCTTTCTCACGGCTGTAAATGCTATTTTTGGCGGTTATACAGCATTAAGTGTTTTGAACGGCTTGTGCTAGCAAAACTCAACGGCGTGGTATGGATGCTCCGCATGTACATACTGAACAGCATAGATTTTTTTCATAAGACGTATTCTATATCTTTGATTAAGAGTACTGATGAGTTTTATGTGCTTTGGGATGTTGTTCGCCTCCATTTTCCGCATATATATGGTTCCAGTGCGAATAATTCTTGGTGAGTAATAGGCTAAGGATATACCTCACGCCATATAAAGCTTTGCGAGCTGGCGAGGCTTCATATGTATGAAACTCGTTGTAAGCGCATTTGGGATGTACGAATTGCATATTGCATATGTATGAACTCACAAAAGTTGTTCACATAACGCAAATAAAATCTACGCATGGTGTTCAACAAAAGTCCGGCATACCACCAAATCACCTAGCAACTACTCAGATAATCACCAGGGGCAGGCGGTCCGCAAAGTCGTGCTTTTCTGCAAGCGGTCAGCAGAATTTTGGGGCGTGGCCAAACCTTCAGCGAGCGGCACTTCCTTTACGGTCGCACATTCGTCAGCAGGCAGCAATAGCATTTTCTGCAAGCGCTCGGCAAATAATCTCTTTTAGCGAGCGCTGGCGACCAAACTTTCAGCAAGCGCTCGGACTCTTTTTACGCATTTTTGGGCGTACGCCGAGAAAAGGTGCGAATCTATGTGGCAGAGGTGTCATCGATGATTTAATTACCCGAGTTTGGAATACCTTCCCTTCCTTCAGCGGAAGGTACTCTGGGCATTGCGGTCCTTCACAAAGGATCGTGCGGCTCCCAACAACTTTGCATATTCATACGGAAAGTCGGGAGAATGCGGCCACTGGGCCGCAACTTACCCATAAAAAGACCGCGACAGTTCTCCGAGCGTTCATGTAAAAAAGGCCAAAGTTATTCCAAATTTCTTCAAGCGGACCGCAAGAGATCGGCGAACTATTTTTCCGGTGCCCACTTGCTCAAAATTCGCATGGCCGCTTGCATCGGCGATTATCTGAGTATATGCATGAAGCGACAGCTGCACTCGCCATTTTTAATGTCTGCTCTGAATTCAAAAGAAGCTATATCAAAGTGTGAGAGCTGGATCGTATTTGTAACTATCTGAGTTATGTGTGCATTACATTTCTTGTTTCTAGGTACTAATTCCTTCTTTTACCAAGAAAAATATCAGGCTTTCAAACTTTTTTCGCGCCCTCCAGTTACAAGTTACACGTTGAGCGCTTCTAATACCAAATCGCGGTCAATTTATGAAGATACGTGCACAATGCAGCTTTTAGCGAAAAAAATAGCAGTGTGATGTGGTGGTCAATAATTTGCAAGGTCTCTTTTTCTGCGTAGATTCTCTTTGGTGTTACAGGTCGTCAATATCAAGAGTCGTGGATTCAATCGATTGACAATTTTTGTCGTCCTGCGCAGCAAGTTTTCATCATTCAAATGGATTTAGCAATTTTTATGATTTCGATCGAGCGCCTTATAGCTTCGACATTTATCAAAAGCTATGAATACATGCTTAATTCGGTTGCACACGCAACTGGACTTGTTACCCTTTTTGTAAGTCGCAGTCTTCTTGTTTTAATATAATTACTCTTCTTGCAGTTAGTGTTTGATTTTATCTGCTCTTGCTGCCTGTTTTCTGATACCAAACTGCATGAAAATTCCCCTACGCTCGTATACGTTAGTTTTGCAGCTACTATAACAAGAATTACTGGTTTTTTCGTGAGTTCTATTCTTTGAAAGCTGTGCTCAAAGTTCGTTAGGTAACAATATCGGTGGTGAGAAATGGTTTGGAGCGCATTTATAGTTTCAGCTCGCTCAGAACACGAGGGTGGCGAGCACTGTACAATCGCACCAAAATTCCAAACTCATTCTTTGAGCACTGGCTGCAAGGCAGTGTGTTATTGAAGCCTGATTTTCTTTGAGATTTGTCTTTCAATAAGTATTGCGTTGAACATTGATGAACAATTAAGTTGCTTGAGTGATTCAGCCAACACCAAGATTTTTATCGTATTTATTCGGCTAACGTTTCGGCGTAGTCGCCTTCGTCAGAGCCTATAAAGTGAGGAACATTGAGAATAGAATTAGGGAGTCTATTCAACTTTTTGGACTCTTCCTGCATGTGATGAGATGTTTGAGAGGTTAATTCTCAATGTTCCTCACTTTATAGGCTCTGACGAAGCCGACTACGCCGAAACGTTAGCCGAATAAATACGATAAAAATCTTGGTGTTGGCTGAATCACTCAAGCAACTTAATCGTTATGCCAAGATTCATCAAAAGTCGAACATGGAACATTGATGAACAAGTTGTTCTAGGGCCCGGCCAGGGCCCGGCAGGAGGTGGCATTCCAGAATTTTCAAAACGATATCCCCTTTGAAGCCAAAATTTCTTACGACTTCCCCTTTGACCCTATTTTTAACCCCCGTAAGTCCCTGACAAACAGATATACACAAATAATAATATGGACGGCCTCAGCGCTTATTATAGTTGTAATACCTGGCTTTCCTGGTCCAGCCCGGGTCATCGTTTGAGGCAATGGCCAGAAGCCACGTCCTTCTACCTTCCCGTCCTTTTGGGCCATATTCTCCACCCCTTTTCTGCAGTATCAATACTCACTGCAGCGCAGCCCTCCCCCTTACCCTCCTGCACGAGCTTACCTCAGAAAGGCTTATTGAAGTGACTGCACCTTCTAATTTTAAAGTGGAAATGAACTTCACTGCATTGTTCACACTAAAATGTGCAAGCATTTGTTAGCGGCTGGCAAGTGTCCACTTTCCTTGCGAGGTGCCAAAAATCATTGAATCGATAAAAGGATTGCACGAATTGCTTCGAAGGGTAGCTTAAAACCATCTACCGAGGCCGAAAACATATGTTTTCAAGGTTTCAGCTCAATGGGTACATCCGCAAAGGAATCTATAAAAAAAGGGTGCATGTGAAGAGGCGCGATTTTTATTGCCAGATGGACACCAGACACATAATAAGTGCTTTATGACTTTCTAAAAGTACTCAAATTTTAAAAGGAGATGTAACAGATGGTTGCATGGGTCGTTCAATTTTAATACCTTGGAGTCGGTTCAAAATAGCAACTTTGAAGGTCGAATACCCATGAAAATGCAGTTGAGAACAAACTCGTAAATAATTCGGCCCATTTTCCAGCAAAAGCCACCAAACTCGGCAGTTAGTAACGTCAGACAGATAGTAAGCTAATGCACTTCATCTGATACTTTTTGAAGGCTCGCATAGCACTAAACTGGAGTTTTAAGCTAATGACAGCCAGAGAAATCGCGCCTCTTGACCGTCTCCCATTGAAAAACATAGTCTCAAGATTTGCACAAACTTTGACGTTTATATATCTAAGATACTACTCATTTATTAGTCAGCTGCGAAACTTTACAATTTACAATAACCGATTGCGATTGGAGCGCGCTTTCCGAGGCCGATCATAACGGTGTGAACCATATTTGGGGCTGTATCAAAGCGGTGCCTTGGTGGTTTTGGATGCGGATTTGAACATATAGTAATACTCTCGACCTAGTCCACATTTATGTAAAGAAATCCGGGAAATTATGTGAAGGGAAGCAGGGAGCCACCCCAGGTGGCTCCCAGGTGGCGCGGGAGCCACCTAATTTCGAAAAACACTTACCATTTTTTAAATTCACATAAGCTTCTCATAATTCTTCATACTTTTTCTGTGCTCATGGTCCTCCAACTATACAGCAAATTTGGTGCCATGCCATATCGTTACTTGTGCATTAAAGACGAGCCTATTTTGTTATTTTCCTCTTAGAAGAATTGCGATTGGAATTCCCGCCTGCGGGCAGGCTAGCGATCGGAGCACAGAATCTTCACATTGCTGGAATCTAAGTTCATAGGACAGTAGCATCAACAAGTAATGATGAATAAAGAATGATATGTGCATTGTTTACCGGTAAACAAAGGGGAAGTCGTATTTTGCGGTCCGGGGCTCCGCCTCGGACCCGAAAATACGACTTCCCCTTTGCTTTTTCGGGTCAAAAACGATATCCAGTTTGTGAAAGCACCACCTCCGCCGGGCCCTGGGCCCGGCACTACCGGAACTGGATCAAAGTGGATATCGTTTCTGAGATAAAAGCTAAAACGAGTATTTTGCGGGGTGTTGATTAGGCTTGCCCTATGACCCCTTCTTTTTATGTTCTTTCTTGTCATACAATTTTGTTGTCATTCTCAGGGTAAGGGAGAATAGAGTGGATGGGTCAGGGAGATGAGCGAATCCGGCTGGTCCGACAGTTTCAGTTTGCGACCACGGTTCGGTTCATGATGCATTAAAAAATTTTTTTTGATTTTGCTGCTCAGTAAATTTTGAAAGAGCGGGTTTTACTCTTACACCTATTCTGCGGTTAGCGGCATCACAAAAAGACAAGTGAGAAGTAGTGAGAGGAAAAGGAAACGGGTTAAAAAAGACTAAAAACGACTCTGTAAAAAAGTTTCGAAAATAGATGAGAATCTTTCCGTAATCCCTGCTTCCAGCTCATGTCGATCCGTGCTGGTGACACATGAAGGTGGCGTTTTTGAAGTGGTTTGCTTTAATTGTGTAGTTTATAGACATTCGCTTGAACAATATCAGCAGCCACAACAACATTAGTGACATAATTATTTATTGGCTGCATGGTAGTTGTTTTTGTTTTTCACTTCTTCTCTATGTGTTGTAGCGTACTATGCACGCATCAAATAAAATAAAATAGAGATTGTTTTGTACCAGAGTGGATGCAAAGAAGCTTTATCCGAGAGAGCAAGCCACAAGATTGAGAAGTGTACGACTGTCACGAGTATATATAGCTGACTTAATTACATACAAATACGATATCGTATTATATCATTTAGCACATCATTCCTCAACAGAAATGAATAAAACAGTTATTTGATTGCAGCTCCTTCGTCTAACCCAGAAAATATCGCGTCGTCATTTGAGCGGACCTGATCGCACACTTTCCGGGAGCTATCAATGTCATGAAAACATGTGTGTTGTAAAACTAATATCTCCAATTTATATTCTCTTGTTGCTGACAGAGTTCTGTCAGTTTGCATTCCGCGCGTATGGATGGTTTTGTGGCATGATGTTGGGCGCCTTCTTCCTTAGATTACTCGCACATACTTACAACCTCGTGAGTGCTTCAATTTTCCAGATACTTGATAAGTTGATCAATTTAGTCAGTGGCATTGAGCGTGTTTCTTACGCCCACCCTGCTCATTGCTCTGCAACCAAAGCTGGCTGCTAAGTTTTCGAAAAAGAACAAGACTGTACATGTGTCTCCAATGGACGCTGGCACTGCAACGGCCACTTATTTCGACGAGCTTAACAAAATGTGGTTGTAAATGTGCTTTGGTCGTAGCATCAATAATAAATTTTTTGGGTATTAGGTCGTTTCGTCACCTCGGGGATATCCAAATTATGTGACTTAAGTAATACGAAGAAAGTCCCAAAATGTTAGAACTCTCAGATGATATCATGAGTTCATAGATCCACTCATCATCCATTGCTCCTTCTCCTTCCCATTTCTTTGAAGCGATTGAATTGCGGCAGGCTGCTTATATCACTGGGAGAAGCTGATCATGCTTTTCTAATTAAACTTATCAGTTTTGATGAAAAACCGATCGATATGATTCCTCCGCTTCAGCACCTGTTCTTTTTCCTTGGAAATCTCCTTTTGCAGAATTGTAGATTACGGAAAATGATGTCGTCTTGTCAATATGAGACAAAAATATGATTGGATCACTGCAAAAAAGCGAGAGTTGCCCTCGAACAAAATTTTGTAGAACAGGTAGGCTGGACAGAAAGGAAGCAAAATGGTTGCCCATATCGTGCATAACCCAACTGCACCGCTCAAACTAATCCCTATTGTAGAAAGGTTGATAAATAGGTTCAAAGACTTTTTTGCAGGGCAAAACATAGCCTGATACGGCAGATGTCGTCATATCGTTCCTGCAAGACTTGACCAAAAGGCATAAACTATCCAATGTGCTCCTGAGATCTCGCTTTAGCAGATTATCGTTTGTTTCAGTCAATTGAAAATCATATGGACGAATTTGGTTCGATTTGAAGATTAGGCACTGAATGAACGGTTTTTTTTTGGGACCAGGCATGCGGAGTTTTGGAAAAATGGAAATGAAAAGTCGGCGGCAATGTGGTAGATGGTTGCGCACCGAAGTATTTATTTGTTTGATTATTTATTTGTGCATAGGCATGCCCCTATGAAGAAACAAACAAACAACAACACAAAAAAACAATTAACACAACCGCACCTGGAATGATATCCACGAAAGTGCATAACGGAGGAAAATGGACTTTCAAACCCCATTTTATTCGTTCGCGGTAGAAACTGGTCGAAATCTACATTCGCTAGCGTTATCCAAAAATTTTATTTCAAAGCAACCACGAGGCAAAGCGGTGTGTAAAATGATTCCCCTACTTGAGCTCTCGCTTGCGAAAGAATCATGCGAAAAGTCCATTTAGAGTTGGGCAAAATGGGATTTACCTCCATTTTAAATGGACTTGAAAGCCCATTTTATTTTCAGCAGCAAGATGAGCTGGGACTAAGCCCATTTTTGACCTTTTTACATATTTTTGAGGCGATTTTTTGAGAATGTGTTCCCTAGCCCATTCTAATGTAGAAAGTGGAAGAATTTTCATGTCTTTTATGAAGTCTGAAATAAGTGTTTCCTTCTAAACTCATACAAACGCTATAAAAATCGTGGAAGAAGGTTATATTCACCAAGATATTCGCTGACAAACTCAAATGCTTCAAATATTAGGTCGATGCGAAAATTCCCGTGTAAATCAAATGAAAATTGTCACCCTTCAAATCATCAACCGAAACTAAATTCGGGGTTTGTATTTCAAAACCAAAAAGATTTCCGTTTCAATATAGTTGCTCAATAGCTATCTTTTGACTAATCTTGCAGAACCGAACTTCAAAGACGGCATCTCAAACGTGATTTTGAGTTCATGAGTCAAGAATCACTGAAATGGCGCTAGCTAGCAAGAAAAATAGGGTGAAAAATATCCTACTAGCAATAGTCCATACATTCAACTACTTAGAGATATGAACATTAGTGCTGAGAGATAAAAAAGAGCTAAAGTAGAAAATTTACGAAGTCATCTCTTGCAGATTCGTAGTTTTTTCGACTGAAAAAACCTTTTGGGCGGTAGTGTAGTACAAGGTTTCCTATAACATAAGCATTTTGAGTCACAGATTGCAGTGCAAGTCTAGCCAAAGTTTGCTTTGCGCAAAAAGCTCTACATACGAATTTGATTCAATGCAGATCCATAGAAGTCTCGAGAAGCGAAGGCCCGAATTATATGAATTTTATTCTTGGAGGTGATTTAGATGCATAGTCATCGAAATAAATAGTATTTTGTGAGGTGTAACGAAGTGGGAAAAATAGAAAATCGTAATTGTCACCAGGGTAAAGCGGGGGTGCGGCACGCCACACTTGGGGGGTCTATTGGGGAGTCAAAAGGGGAGGGGGTCGTAGTTGGGTAATCTTATATATAAAGCTGAATGTCTGTATGTCTGTATGTCTGTCTGTCTGTATGTCTGTACGTATGTGCGGAATAGAAATTTTTATTTCTGAACCGATTTGGACCAAACTTGGCACACATATACTTCGGGGCAGGGAGCGTGTCATAGGCTACTTTTCGTTATCGATCGATGTCGATTTTACCGATTTTTTGCAAAATTTGAGCTAGGGGGCTAGGATTTTGCACAGGGGGGTAATCGAGCATGCTGATCAACCCCTCCGGGGTGATCAGCATGCTCGATTACCCCCCTGTGCAAAATCCTAGCCCCCTAGCTCAAATTTTGCAAAAAATCGATAAAATCGATATCGATCGATAACGAAAAGTGGACTATGACACGCTCCCTGCCCCGAAGTGTATGTGTGCAAAGTTTGGTCCCGGGCGGAGCCGGGTTTGTCCTCTAGTCTAATAATAGTGATAACATGATATTCGTATCCTATCCATAATTAGCATGTCAAATAACCCCTGTAGACAAATATGAGCGAATTCTGAAGATTCAAGATGCTAGGTTACCTAAGTGAAATAGTCAAATTCCAACATGGTCAACTTTGTTTCAAAGGTGAATTAGCTATTCGTTTTTGCACTCAAGACAAAGCACTACTCCTTCTTTGTCCATATCAGGAATCCCGCTTCAGAAGACCTCCAAACTGTGGAATTAGAAGCCAACCAAAATCTCGTTTTTCCCATTTTTCGCTTTTGATCGCTGTGCTTTCACCAAATAATACTCAGAGCTAAGAAGACGAATCAGGCTCAAAACAGTCCTATGGAATCTACAAGGTTTAGGCTATCGATTCATATAAATACTGTCCGCTAAAAATGTTTTTTGATATATTTAATGGGGTGCGGCACACCCCCTTAAAAGCTGCGGCCGCCGCAGGTTTTAAGGGGGTGTGCCGCACCCCATTAACTTACCCTTGAAGCCGTCGAATGTCTACAATTTTTATGTCGTTTTTACAGCTCAACCATCTTCTATAAGATTTTCATCCAAAACTTTCCCGCACAGAATGAGATATAGCGCTTTTTCTACTACCTACCATCCATCGTGCGGCTGCCAAAATATCGGGTTACGGTAGCACCAACTACTCATCTTGCCGCCTTTCTGCGCTATTGCGTAAACAATGCAGTGTCTGACCCTGTGTGAAAACTTAATTTGGAGATGTTTTGCAGTAGAAAACTAAACGATAGCGAACCTGAGGCGTGTCTGACCCTGTGTGAAAACTTAATTCGGAGATGCTTTGCATTGTTCTGCGACAGTTTTAGAATTTGTACTCCTTTTCGTTTCCGCGTCTGCTTCAAGCTACAAAGGTCGTTTCCAGCTATGCAGTAGAAAACTAAACGATAGCGAACCTGAGGCGTGTCTGACCCTGTGTGAAAACTTAATTCGGAGATGCTTTGCATTGTTCTGCGACAGTTTTAGAATTTGTACTCCTTTTCGTTGGTTTCCTTATATGAGAACTTCCTAATTAAGAGTTCTGCTTCATGACAGAATGTTAGCTCGGTCTCGGTCGCGTCTGCTTTAAGCTACAAAGGTCGTTTCCAGCTATGCAGTAGAAAACTAAACGATAGCGAACCTGAGGCGTGTCTGACCCTGTATGAAAACTTACGTGAATGCTTTTCTACTCAATTTGACCGAAGTGCGCATGCTGTTTAGCGTGCGGCCGGGACTGGATCTAATCCGGTTCAAAGGATAAGTATAGCTGCATTCTCAGGGCGCGAAATCGGGTTTAGGAGGCTCTAACTTCTATCATAGGTATACTGGTACTTGCTTGCCTTGCTTGCCTGCGAAGGTTACCACAAGGGCGCTATCGCGTGCAATTTCTTTCTTAAAAGCTGATGTCAATTCATCTGACATGTATGCCTGTTTTCAGAGGTCGCGATGGTAATGCTACCGATGAAGAACAGAAGAAGAGGCTACGAAGGAGATGGTCACACTTATAGAGAATGTATTTAGACGAACGAGCGCGTTGCGACGAAGTATTTGCCAGTAAGACAAGAAACACTCAAAATTTACGAGTCTTCACACTTCTGTTCTAGTAATTCATACTACTTTTTTGAATTTTGTGAGTGTAGATGCTTTTGGCCTGTACTAATCGCTGCAGTGATTACTGCAGCAGCAAATTGATACTCGCGTTAGGTTATGCTAGCAATCTTCACTCGTGTAAATTCGCTCATCCATAACGCTCTGTGTCTTTAGGTCAAGTACGAGCACGTCATATGTTGTCGCAACACGGAGTTGCAGAATGCTATGTACAGCAAGTTGATCGAGTCAGAAGAACAGAACAGGGCTATTGAGAAAGACAAGGTAAGCCAATTAATGCAGATCAATTGTTCGTAGTTCATGGTTCCTTCAAAATGCTCATATGTTTCGAAAATGTACTGCAAAAATTCACTTCAACTCCAACTGATCTTCATCATTCACAAACTTTGTGGTTGTGCTGAGGTCAAATCTGTGCTTGAGAATGGTTTACCACTAGTTAAAGTTTGTTTGGGCAACCGAGGGAGGGGGGAAGGGTGTTGGTTCATTTCACATTAGAGAGGCGGTTGGATTGAAGTGGCCCATCATCCAGTTGCATGCAAATGGGCGAGACATGAACTCCGTCATCAGTATTCTACGTTCAAAAAAAGGACAAGATTTTTGAAATCTCTGAAGGACAACTTTGAATTCACAGAACTAACAGGTTTGGAAAGGGTGAAAAAGCATCCTAACTCGAAGTTGCCAGACACTGTATGTGTGTCTTTTCAGCATCTTTTGAAATTACCAAGTTTTGCAAGTCTCTTCCTTGTTTCTTTTGCTAAAAAAGGTGTTTTCAGATACTCCTAACGCAAGTATAGTGCTGCCAATGACGAGCAAGCTTTGGCGGCAGAACACATTGAAGGCGAATTCCAAGACAGCCAAGCTTCATACTATGTCAAGGTACTTCCTTATAACTCTCAACAACTACTTTCAATTTGTTATTGGTCTTGTTATTATAGGCGTACTATGCTGCACGATTTCGACTGCTTCGTAAGCTGCTCTTTGTTGAAGGTGAAGGGGCATTCATAAGGTCATTGTCTCAAAGCACGTTTTGGACTCCTCAGGTATGTCCATTTGCTTCTTGCGGTGTCAAAAGAAGATCAAAAAGAAAGTGCTTGTTTCAGGGTGGAAAATCTGGACGATTCTTCTATCGAACCCAGGATGATCGTTTTGTGGTCAAGCAAATGCCACGATTTGAGATTCAATCATTTGTGATATTTGCATCTCATTATTTTGATTATGTGAAGACAGCTGTAGTGGAAAATAAGCTAACAACGCTATGTAAGGTAAGCATCAGCTGTCCATTGCCCGCTTGTTCGCTTTGATACAAAAAAGATGCACCTTTAGACAGGCTGTTTTCTTTTTGTGAATATGAGTTTGCTTTTCTTTTCAGTTTACAGATTCATTTTATCACAATTCCTTCACTACCTAACACGCATTCTTTATCACTTACTTTGTAAAAATCTGAATGGTGCCTTGATTTTTCATTTGTGTCAGCGCATAATGGTTCTCATAACGTATTCGTAAATTCGTACGTCCTGTGGCATCGAACCTTGGCGCGAATCTATGCATACGGTAGAAAGAACCAATACGCATTGATACAGACTCTATCTCTTATCGGCAGCGCAGATAATAATATAGCAATTGACGGGATTTACGCTCCGTTTTTTTGGGTTTATGGAGTATTTCGGGTTGGTTACAAGAGCAAGACTACCCAGTTGAAAGTGGATATCCTTCTAATGGAGTATTTGTTTTATAAACATAATGTTAATCAAGTCTGGGACCTTAAACTCAGATAATTGCGGGGGGCAGGCGGGCACCGGAAAAATAGATTGCTGATTTCTCGCACCCCGCTCGTGGATTATTTGCAAAGCAATCGGGACTTTTCGGAAGACCGCTCGCTGAGTCAGCGGATTTTTGAGAGACCGCCTGTTGAATTTTTTTCGCTCTTATCTTTTGCAGATATATTGCTGAATCTCTGAGGAATCGAGAATTCAGCAAGCGGTCTTCCGAAAAGTCCTGATTGATTTGCAAAAAATCCGCGAGCGGGGTGCGAGAGATCAGCAAACTATTTTTCCGGTGCCCGCCTGCCCCCCGCAATTATCTGAGAAGGATCTCTAAGAAATCGGTAAATCAATGCAGATGCTTGGTGCACTGATCGAAGCAAATGAAGCATGAACCATTTGAGGATGGCTGCCACAGCAAAGAGTACATCGGATCTCTTTTTGCTCGATGAAAATTTTATGAAGGATTTGGAATAAACAGCTGTACATATATCCTCACGCTAAAGCCGCTTTGAATCAAGCGATTAGTAATGATGGCCACTTTCTTAGTTCTCATGTAAAATTATCGCTATCCCTGAGGAAAAAATGACTTTTTTCCAATTTAGCACGTTATGGATTACTCTTTGCTAGTGGGTGTTGATGAGACTAATGGAGAGCTTATACTGGGAATAGTTGATTATATGAGAACTTACACCCTCGACAAGGTTGGTCTCTTTTAGGCTTTATTAAGTTAATCGGTACTTTTCCGTTATCCGGACCCATTTTTTCAAAAAGCTCTAATAAAATACGTTCTTCAATCTAAGAACAATTTTTCATGGATTCCACCGGGACTGCCTTCCTGTCACTGTCAGAAAAATATTAACACGTTTTGGTCCATTTTGACATGTTTTTGTCGAAATCACTTCCGGTGAGGTTAAAGCATTTGTGATCACCTAAAAGCTGTTTAATTAGTTTGTCTGAAAGCAAAACAATCCGGAATTTATATCAGAACATCTTGATCGCTCTCAGTAACGATTTAGCATTATCTTATTCTTCAAACTTTTCGTCTTGCGAATTTAGCCAGACGAGACTATAAATGATGGCTTGAAGTTCATTGCTATTGCTTGTTTTGTCATTTAGATGATGGGATCCTAGTCCACTTCTCTACTCTTGGCAAGCCTAATCTGTTTAATTAGTAACAGAATGACGTTATTATGATAACAATGCTCATTTTTGATAGTTTAATCGAAAATGGGGTCACTATTGACTAATAAAGAGATTGCACTTACCTCGCTAGGTAGGGCAACAACTCTTGGTTAAACCTGTTAAACATGTAAATGACATGTCAAATTCTTTTGATACGTGGCAGAAGGTTGACACTCCTTCCTGTGAAGTCGCGACCAAATATGGTACGAGGGAAGAAGCAATATGCTTCTTTGAATAAATGGGTCCGGATAACGGAAAAGTACCAGTTAATCTTATAATGACAGAAATCGAATCATGGGTGAAAATCGTTGCTATACCCGGAGCAGTCTGCCAACGATTCTCAGTCCAGAGTTGTATTGTACGAGGTAAGAAGGTTTCCGTTCGTTTGCGCCGCATCCGGGGGGGGGGGGGGGTAGAAAATGGGGGTGGGTCGTGCCGAGGTCCGGTCCAAGGGGGGTCGTAATTCACGGTCGCGTGCCGCACCTCCCACTTTACCCTGATTGTCACTGTAATGTTAGGTCAGCCCTAGTTAGATACCGACCATTTGGTGGAAATGAGTTTGCAAGAGTGAGTAAACAGGTTGAGGCAAGTTGGAGAAAGGTTTGCTGAAGAAGTTTTGTATGGAATGAATGGATTCGCGAATGCGTTATCTTATCGCACCGCATTGACTGAGTCCATTTTATTCGCACGAAAAGCCCATTTCGCGGGGACTTTCGTGGATATCATTCCTGAACAAAAAAGTGTTAGTGTGTTTTTAGGTAGCCTCTCAAAACTTTTTTGAACATTGCGAGTTTAGTCACGAACATTCTCTTCCTCAAAAGTATGTTTACATCATGCGCACTCTGCACGTGAAAAAGTGCCTTCTAACGTTTCGCCTAGCCTTTGGTAACACATGCATTCTAAGTCCACCTCTAGTATTAGAAGATCTAGTCACAAAAAGTTCCTCGAATCGAGCTTATTTGTTCCAAATATTATTTTGTGCACCGTGATAAGATTGAATTTCTTTCTTCTATAAGCCTAAGCCCAAGATTGCATTACGGACTTGAATGCATGGTATTTGATCATAATTGAAATCAACCGTCTTAATCAGTAACTTTCTTGTAAAACTATTCTGTACTTTCTCCAAATAGTCGTTGCGTTTTGAGCGTGTGGACTATAAATGACGGTACCATATTCCAGCATTGGTCTAATAAAAGTCTTGTAAGCCTCCAAAGATTAGGATCTGTGCATGACAGTCCTCTGTACAAATTGTAGATTGCCACCGTAGCCTTGTCTGCATTACTTTACAATGCTCATCAAACGAAAGACTACTTGTAACCAGAAATCCCAAGTTTCTAATTGAGTCAACAGCTATAAGTGGGCTACCTCCTAAACTGTAGGGGGTATCTTATATTACTGGAATCTAAGTGAGTATTTTTGTTTATTCTTTTGAAATAGGCAGACCCCATAATGACCAATCAAGCACCTCATCCAATACATCTTGTAATTGTTTACGTTCAGCGTCATCACTTACAGCATTGTAAAGCTTCAAGTCATCCGCGAATGCGCTGCAAGAAACTCCTTTAGACAATGGTATGCGCAGAAGCTCATGAGTGAAGATGCTGAAGAGAATAGGTGAAAGAACCCCCCCCCCCTGTGGAACCCCACACTGCATTCTTCTAAGGGAAGAAAACGTGCGATTGACATGAACCCGAATGTCCTCTCATTCAAGAAAGCTTCAGTCTAAGCTACAATCCGTGAATGTATTCCTTCCTGGCTATAAGTTTGGAAATCAACTTACACTGAGGAACTTTGTCAAATGCTTTCGTAGAAGATCTAAATAAATCACGTCAATACTCTGAACTTTATCTAATTGAATTGTCCAATCATTGACTGCTTGTAACATAGCAGTAGATTTACCACTTTGAAACTCATGTTGTTTACTTGCAATTACCTTATAAGTCTCTAAATGCTTTAGAATATGCCTCTTCAATATTTTCACAAATAGTCTAGCAAAAATAGACGTTATGCTAACTGGTCGATAGTTTTCTGGACTAGTAAGAGGCTTTTTCTTATTAATAGGTCTGAAAAAAGACACACGCCATCGATCAGGACTGCGCATCATGCAATTAAAAATGTATTGAAGCGACCCACTCAGTATATCTGCTATTGGTTTGATAAAACGTAATTATACGAAATGAGGTGTGATTGAAGTCGACTTAGGCCATTTCATCAGTATTTGATAGATGTCTTCACTCTTGAACCATACTAACCGTCAGTCATAGTTTGGTAAATTGGAACACTTTCAACTTCATTTTCATCGTTCTCTTCAACAAATGTCTTAGCGAAAAAGTCTGCAAAATATTCCGCTTTATCTCCGTCGTTGCATATAACTTCACCACTATCTCCCTGCAAAACCCCCACTCAGATTCTCTGGGGGCAGGCGGCCATGCAAATTTTGAGCAAGCGGGCACCGGAAAAATAGTTCGCTGATTTCCTGCGGCCCGCTTGCAGGAATTTGGAGGAATGTTGACCAGTTTTCAGACGAATGCTCGGAGAACTGTCGCGGTTTTTCCATAGATTAGTTGCGGCGCAGTGGCCGCATACTCGCGGACTTTTCGCGAGAATATACAAAAATATTGGGGGCCGCACGGTCCTTTGTAGAGGACCGCACAGCCCGTAGGTACCTTCCGCTGAAAGAAGGTACCTCGAACTTGAGTAATTAAACCATCGATGACACCTCTCAGGAGTCCTTTATTCGGCGCATGCTCAAAACCGCATAAAAAGAGTCCGAGCGCCTGTTTAAAGTTTGGCCAGCGCTCGCTGAAAGAAATTATTTGTCGAGCGCTTGCAAAAAATGCTGTATTGCTGCCCGCTGGCAGAATATGCGACCGTAAAGGAAGTGCCGCCCGCTGAAGGTTTGGCCATGCCCCAAAATTCTGCTGACCGCCTGCAGAAAAGCGCGAGTTTGCGGACCGCCTGCCCCGGCGATTATTTGAGCAGCTCTCTTCTACCTTTGAGTCTCGAGTTGATCAGTTTATAAAACGCTGATCTCTCTGCAGATTCAATTGCTCTTCTCTCAACAGAAACATTATATTAGGTTGTCCCGAAAGTTTTGTCCGTTTTTTCAACCTATCATAAAAACACGTGGAGCGAAGATAGAGAAATGCTCTAAGCACTATCCGACGCATCTTTTCATCCTCTTTTTAACTGTCATGCTCCCATGTCGATTACTCTTTTGCTTACTGAGATAAGGGCCAAAATTTCGAACCCGTGGTTTTTACTATATCCAAGTTTGGCAATTTTTCACAATCTTGATTTTCAACTTTTGGAAGTCCTTTGATAGCGCTCAGATAGAGTAAACAGAGGGCAATGCAATGCAATTTTTTGGCTTGTCCAGCTGGCATTTCAGTATTTTTTAAGATAATTTTTCCAAAAGTCTTCACTTTTGGGAAGTCTCAAAATACAGAAACGCCTCGAACACTAACAAATCATAGGATTTTGAAGCTTTCATAAATCAATTACGATTATTCACTATTTTTGCAAAGCAACTGAGCGTTTACCGCTTCGAAATATAAGATTTCGCATTTTACGGTACACGCTGGGGCGGGGTCAAATTCAATCAAAGGAAAATTACACTCACTGGAAAGAGGAGAAAAAGCTGCATCGAATGACACCTTAGTTGTGCGCCGTTTTATGTTCTATGGTTCATGGCATCACCAAAAGTGGAATTTGATAGCATCAGAAAAATAATTCTAAAAAATTTTCAAGGCTAGCTATAGATGCCGCAAAATTGCATTGCGTTGCCCTTTATTTACTCTATGTAAGCGCTATCAAAGGACTTCCAAAAGTTGAAAATGAAGATTGTGAAAAATTGTTAAACTTGGACATAGTAAAAACCACGGTTCGAAATTTTGGCCCTTATCTCAGTAAGCAAAAGAGTAATCGACATGAGAGTTAAAAAGAGGATGAAAAGATGCGTCGGATAGTGCTTAGAGCGTTTCTCTATCTTCGCTCCACGTGTTTTTATGATAGGTTGAAAAAACGGACAAAACTTTCGGGACAACCTAATATTTTTTAAGCAGTTTGGTGTATTTGTTATTCAATCTACAAAATTTGCTATAGTCTCTAGTATTTTTACTAATAGCTGCCGGCTTCCATGCTTCCCTCATTTTATAAAATCTTTGCAGGAAATGAGGCAGTTTTACACTCCGGAAGGAACTCTCTCCCAAGGGAACATAGCTCCCAATAGTATGATTAAGTATATTGGGAAAAATATTAAGTATTATATATTATATTTTAAATATTAAGTATATTGAGAAATTTCATACCATTCATTGACCGAGGAAACAGTTCTGAATGAACCATACCAGTCTACGCCACTAAGATGTTGTCTCAATCCATTTACAGTCTGCTCCAATCGGGATCAGGCCGAACCGTCGGCGTAAATTTGCGCGCTCGCAGCGCAAGCGGTCTGCGGTGCATACTGTCGCTGCTGTCGGAGAGAGCACAAGGATTGAAGAGAGAGCAGAGAAGCAGGCCGTGGAGGTGACCG